CATAAAAGAATGCATGCTGGAGACCCATAACCCGCAAAAATCCGGGTTTTATATAGATAAAACCCGATGTATATTTAATCGTCAATCCAATTCAATTCTATTTATCAACCCCGCTTTCCCCTGGGGAGATATCAAATCCCTCCCCTTGCTTTCAGATTCTTACCCAAATAAAACCCTATTGAGAACAATAGAAATCCGCACAAATTTGTACTAACGTGAGTTAGAGCACGGTAAGACAAGCGGTTTTCACTTGTTTCCATCTACCAAACTGACATTACGTCATTTGATCAATTTCTAAAGTAGTTTCTTTTTGGATTTTTTCATTAATTTGGTTAGGGTTAGAGTTAGGGTTGCGGTTAGGGTTAGAGGTTAGAGTAGGGGTGGGGTTTGGGCTAGTTACATAGCCATTTAACACCCCTTCCATCTTCCAAAAATGACGTCATGTCAGTTTGGTAGTTGGAAACAAGTGCTGACCAAGACAAGCTTTACCATATGTTTTCCCATATATTTCTCCCTTCGTTTGCTCGTATAATCCTAATTACACTTACAGGCCTAAGAGGCCCTTGTGTAATTTAAATTTTAGGTGACGGTAAACTGATACCTTAATTCCATCGGCCCAATCATTTGACTTTCGATAAACACATTGGTTAACTTATATCTTCAAGCATGCCAGCATGGCCAAACTTTGTCAAATAAACAGAGGTAAGCATTGTTTTGATATGTTTTGACCCTTACAATTTCTGTGGTTTTGATCGCAATTTAAATAATAACACACAAACACACATCAAAATGCACAATCTCGCAAATAGAAAATTTGTTTTTGTAAAGTGGAAACACGATATGAATTCTTTTTGGGCGCCATATTTTCATTTTGGTATCATTCAGTAAACTGTGTCTCTGAATATTCTCATTTTTATGATCAGAAATTCTGTAAGACGCGAATATTATAAAGATTCAATAAAGAAAGTCTCGGGGGACCGGTTGGGTGATATTTTTATCGAAATTTGACCGCACGTGTGAGCGTACGGAGAAAAGATCAAAAGCTGAAATCATGTCTTGGAAATGCGAGATTTGTAACAAGGTATTTTCAAAGAAAGGAAATTTGGTGAAACATAAAAGAACACACACTGGAGACAAACCTTACGAATGTGATGTTTGCAACAAAAGATTTTCGCAGCCAAGTGCCTTAACTGTACATAAAAGAACACACACTGGAGAGAAACCTTATGAATGTGATGTTTGCAACAAAAGATTTTCGCATTCAGGTGCCTTAACTGTACATAAAAGAAGACACACTGGAGATAAACCTTATGAATGTGATGTTTGCAACAAAAGATTTTCACAATCGAGCCACTTAGCTAGGCATAAAAGAATGCATGCTGGAGACAAACCTTATGAATGTGATGTTTGCAACAAAAGATTTTCGCATTCAGGTGCCTTAACTGTACATAAAAGAAGACACACTGGAGATAAACCTTATGAATGTGATGTTTGCAACAAAAGATTTTCACAATCGAGCCACTTAGCTAGGCATAAAAGAATGCATGCTGGAGACAAACCTTATGAACGTGATGTTTGCAACAAAAGAGTTTCGCAGTCAAGTGCCTTAACTGTACATAAAAGAACACACACTGGAGACAAACCTTATGAATGTGATGTTTGCAACAGAAGATTTTCACAGTCAGGTGCCTTAACTGTACATAAAAGGACACACACTGGAGACAAACCTTATGAATGTGATGTTTGCAACAAAGTGTTTTTGCGTTCATGCCACTTAGCTAGACATAAAAGTACACATACTACAGACAAACCTTACAAATTTAATGTTTCCAACAGATTTTCAGAATCGCACAAGTTAACACAACTTAAAATATCAGCACACAAGAGAAACCAGAGTTTTGAGTGTGGTATCTGCAAGAAGACATTCACACAACGACAAAGTCTTAAACGTCACTGGAGATCACACTTGAGAGATGGCTTATTATTGTGCCACACCTGTGGCAAAGAAATTATTCAAGGACAAGGACATGCTAATGAGATA